AGACTACTGATGAGGGAAGGGAGAAAAGAAGGAAAGGAAAAGCAAAAAAAATAGAATAAAATACTAACGAGACTACCTGTTTTTGAGACAGGCTCTCGCTAGCAGCCCAGGCTGACCTTGAACTGGCTGTGGTCCTCCTGTAAACAAGTGCTGGGGATACCAGCGTGTGCCGAGCCCAGCTACCACCGCTATAAAAGTAGCGTAGCCCTGTGGAAGATGCATCGTAAGCTTATTATGCCCCAATAAGTTTCACTCATTTAACATTTTATGTTATTTTATTTTTTTTTTTGTCTTTTTGAGACAAGGTCTCACTATGCAGTTCAGGCTGGCCTTGAGCTCACTTTGTAGCCCAGGCTGGTCTCCAACTCGCAATGATCCTCCTGCCTCAGCCTCCCAAGTGCTGGGATTACAGCGGTGTGCCACCACGCCTGGCTTCCTTTAACATTTTAATATCCTATACCCTCTTCTTTTATTTTTCACATTAGTTTTTAGTTGATTAAGTTTACTGGTACAATTTAGGTATATACAATGATCACACTTGTCATAGGGATTTTGTACCTGTACATAATATACATTCATTTTTTTCACATTTTTTTCACATTTATTTTTAAATTAACAGATAAAATTGTATTTATTGAGCCAGGCGTGGTGGTGCACACTTGTAATCCCAACACTTGGGAGGCTGAGGCAGGAGGATTGCTGTGAGTTCAAGGCCAGCCTGAGCTGCACAGTGAGACCCTGTCTCAAAAGAAAATTGTATTTGTCATATACAAAATGATGCTTTAAATATATACACACATTGTAAAATGGCTAAAGCTAGCAAGTTAATTAACTTGTTTTTAACATTATTTTACATAGTTATCATTTTTGTGGTAGAACATTTATCTTCTCTCCTAGCATGCATTTATTTATTTATTTATTTATTTATTTATTTATTTATTTATTGTCTTTTTGAGACAGGGTCTCGCTATACAGTTCAGGCTGGCCTTGAGCTCACTTTGTAGCCCAGGCTGCCCTCGAACTTGCAATGATCCTCCTGCTTCAGCCTCCTGGGTGCTGGGATTACAGGCGTGAGCCACCATGCCTGGCTGCAATTTAAAAAAAAATAGTCCTGGTAAGTGAACACAGTACCTTAGTAGGCATGTATTTTGCCACTGAGCCATATCCCTAGCCCTTTTTATTTTTTTAAATTTTGAGACAGGATTTCCCTAAATTACCTAGGGTAGACTAGAATTTGCAACCTACCTCAGTCTCCCAGAGCGCTGAGATTACAGGCATGTGCCCGCATGCCCAGCTTCGGGGAACTCAACTGTTAAAGTCTAATTTTTTTCTTCTAAACTCTAATTTTAGAAAAAAGGCTGTGCAGGGTTGTGACACACACCTGCAATCCCAGCTACTCAGGAAACTGAGGCAGGAGAATCGAAATTTAGCTGCGTGAAGAGCCTGGGTTCAGTCCCCAGTACCACACACAAAAAAATTTCTTTAAGGATTCACTGAAAATTAGAACTGTATGAGAGAACTGCACCTGAAATACATAAACCCTCACCTGTACGTTTCAGGAGTGGGTCAGCAACCACCTGACAGACTTTCAGAAAGCAAATGTGAGGGGCGTGGTGCAGCATGCTGGGACTGCAAGAGGATCCCAAGTGTGAGCCCAGCATGGGCAACTTAGCATCTTAGGGAGAAATCATCTCAGAATAAAATTACAAAAAGGGGCTGGGACTGCAGCTCCCGTGCGAAAGCCCTGGTGCAATCCCCAGTACCTCCACCACCACCGCCACCAGCCCGCGGGATCTGAGCGGCTCAGTGAGCCCACAATCCCAGCTACTTGGGCAGCTGAGGCCAGAGGACGGAGAGTTCGAGGACAGCCTGGGAACATGCCGGGACCCTGGCTCTGAAGCCAAAACGAACCCGACGTCTGAGTGGAAGGGATGGTGAAAAGCTCTTCTAGGTCCTCTTTCTCAATAAATTGTAACTCAACCAACATGAAAGTTCAGTTACCAGCAAAGTGTTAGGCAATAAATGTGACAATCATAGACTGACTGGTCATCAACACCGTCCAAAAAACAACCACCACCAAATAATTAAAATATAAACTGAGAGGCAAAAATACAGAATTTGTTTTTCCATAAACAGAACACAAGAATGCCACAACCAATGCTGAGCAGCACTGACGTGAAGGTCTCGCTCCTCTTAGCCTCGGGAGACTGTCATTACTGTCCGGAGACCTTGAGTTTTACCCTGGCGCTGAGCCTGCAGTCACACGCTGATCTTACCCTGAAAACTTCAGATATCTTGTCTTTATTTTGAAACCGTAACAACAAAGACACAGTGTGATCTTTGCCACAACACCAGGGAATCTTGAGGTGGGAGGACTTTGGAGATTATCTTGTTAGGAAAGGTTTTTCATTTTTGTTTTTAATTGGCACGTTCATCTCAACATTCTTCATTAATAAATTTCAGGGTCAAAAAAGGAGTGTTTTCATTTGTTGTTTGTAACTGGGGATTGAAGCCAGGGTCTTGCACGGAGCTGCATCTATTCCTCCCCCTCCCTTTCAAATTGTGAGATAAGATCTTGCCAAATCAATGACCCAGGTTGGGCTCCAATTTGTGATCCTGCTGCCTCAGCCTCTGAGAACACTGGGATCACAGGTGTGCACCACTACACCTGGCTACTGTTTTTGGTTTTGGGGTTTTGTTTTGTTTTGTTGGTTTTGTGTTTTCGTTTGTTTGTTTTTTTGTTTGTTTGTTTTTTGTTTTTTTTTGTCTTTTTGAGACAGGTCTCGCTATGCAGTTCAGGCTGATCTTGAGCTCATTTTGTAGCCCAGGCGGGCCTCGAACTCACAACGATCCTCCTGCCTCAGCCTCCCGAGTGCTGGGATTACAGGTGTGAGCCACCACAACCGGCTCTGGCGTAGTTGCTTATTATGTAAATAAACATATGAGTAAATCCATAAACAATAAGCAATATTCTACGATCAAACTCATTTCTCCAGGAATGTTGCGGCTATTGTGACGACCTTTCAAAAAGGTTGTGCAACACTTCTATAAAGATAACCAGCTTTTGAATTTTGACCAAATTATCACAGAGAGATGATTTCATGACATCAAAGTAGCAGGACTCTTTAATCTTCACTTTATTATTCCAAATGACCTTTAAACTCAAGGATAGTTCACTGCTTCCCTTGTTTCCAGTTTCCTGCGTACTGTTAGATTTCCTGTTTGTTTTTTTTGTTTGTTTGTTTTGTTTTTTGAGACAGGGTCTCTCCAGGTAGGTCAGCCGGGCCTTGAATTCACTGTAGTCCAGGCTGGCCTCGAACTCATGGCAATCCTCCTGCCTCAGCCTCCCTGGTGCTGGGATTACAGGCATGCGCCACCTTAGGGCAGATTTCTTATCTCCCTTTTTGTATACATGCCAACCTAAAGTATGTGTTTTTTACTTAAAAAGGTAAAAATATTGTGATTTAAGAAACTGACACTATAGAGGGGGAGTGTAGCTTAGCGGCAGAGTGCTTGCCCAATATGTGCATGCCCTTAGGCTCACCTTCCAGCTCACAAAGGAAACAAAACGAAACAAGAAGACGTTATAACCCCGCTCGCCAGACTCCCTCCGCGCTTCTCTCTCCACTGGCCCGCTCACAGCTGATCCTTCGTTCCAGCCGCAGATCTTACAGCTCCCTAACGCGGCAGGCTCTGTAATGGGGGCGCGCCGGTCCGCTTCGCAGATACTCGCCCTGGTTACTAGGCGTGGGCACACGCAGGGGCGGATGTGGGTCACGCCCCGCACGCCCGCCTGACTCCTGTGCACCCCAGCTCCGCTCCACCGTCGCAGTCCCTCGCTGGCGCAGAACTGCAGCGAAGCCGGGCGCGGCGGTGCGCACTGCAAGCTCGGCACTCGGGAGGCTGAGGCAGGGGATAGACAGAGACCCTGTCTCGAAGAACAAACAAGCAAAACAAAGCAAAAGGGAAGGGACCCAGGGACGGGCGGGGGGTGAGGGCGCACGCCCGGCCTGGACAGGGACGTCAGCCGCGCCGGCCGCACGGGGCGCGTGAGTCCGGGAGGCCCAGCGCCAGCTGAAAATCAAGGCGGGGTACTGCAGGTGGACCAAGGGGAGGAGAGAAGGCAGACAGCTGCTGGGACGAGTAGGTGTACTGAAAGTGGAATGCTGGCGAGCTCCTGTCCCCAGCGCCTCCTTGCTGGAGTCCATCTCCCCTGCGGCTCTTGGAATCTGAGGGGCTCACTGGCTTGTCTTTTTTTGGAGACGGGGTTTCCCTATGTAGCCCAGGCTGGCCTCAACTTCATGGCTGCTATCTTCCTGCCTCAGCCTCCTGAGTGCTGCAATTACAGGCGTGCACCACCCCGCAGGGGTGCCTTTCCCTAATTGTTGGGGTCCAGCTGCAGAGGCCTAACAGCCTTTTTTTTTTTTTTTTTTTTTT